TGATCCTGGAGACCCGGGATCGAATCCCACGTCGGGCTCCCGGTGCATGGAGCCCGCTTCTCCCTCTGCCTGTGTCTCTCTCTCTCTCTCTCTCTCTCTCTCTCTCTCTCTCTCTCTGTGACTATCATAAATAAATAAAAATTAAAAAAAAAAGAGTGGAGAAATTAAAATCCGGGTGATAGGACTCAACTCAGTCTTCCTAGGCAAATAACTGGCTTATTTTATAGTGTAAAATCACAACAATTCTGGATCTTCACATCCTTCTTTAAAAAAATGCAGGAAAAACTCAACTTATCTCGAAATCTGTCAGTAGCTTGTGAACAAACAAAACACAAGACTCTTCAGTTTGCTAGAAATAGAAAGACTATTTTCCAGCGACAATTCAGGCATTTCTTTTTCATATAATAGTTGAACCAGGTAATGAAGTAGGAAGCATACTTCACATCCTACACAGAGAAATATGGAAGCTATTCAAAACTGTAATTTCAAAGAATTTTAAATTGAAAAAGACTGGAGGGATTGGAAAGTGCAATAAGCTCTTTAGTATATGTGCTGCCGAAGAGAGCACAATAAGCTCTTTAAAAGTATGCAACATAGAAAATATAAATTCCTTTTTGAAAATCTGAGTGTAATCTAGAGATCAAGCTAAAGCCAGAGACTATATATTTCAGTAAGTAGTAATTAAGGTGAGAAAATAGGATATGTTTGAGGTGCTTGAGCTCTGAACTAATTTGCTGGTTTTCAAGAAGAGCTGGAAAAGATTCATAAAAATTAATTTGAAGATCAATCTACCTATCTTTCTATTCATCCAACTGTTGATCTTTGAACCTGCCTTTCCTTCTATCCATCTTGTCCATCCATCCATCTATGCCACTACCTACCAATTTATCTCTCTCCCTCCTCCCTCTCTATTGTTGCCGGAGTAAAGGCCCCCTTGTGCACAACTTTTACCTCTTTTATACAAGTTGTACTTTGTATTAAATCTCATCTTCATGAAACTATTCCAGCTAGTTTGTAATGAACTTCTTCATGAAACTCTGACTTTAGAGGCTTACATTCTCTAATTAAATGTAATCTACTCTTTATCACCACAATTTATTCTATGATTTCACCAGTATATAAGTGGCCTGAATTCATTTCTGAATTAGAAGCCATCAGGATTCTTTGCCTGTTTTCCTTCTCTCTTCTGGCCTGACTGCAGGCATAGAGGTTGACGGGGAATCATTCATTCCTTAACAACCATGGAAATATAGTTTGCTTTTTCAAACTAAAATAGGCATCCTAATCCACTTATTTGTGTATACTTGCTGTCTGCAGTGGTGCCAAACACACAGTGGGTGGACAGTATTATTGATAATGAAAAGAATGCTCCTCCCCATGGCAGAGATGCAGAGAATATCTTTGGAATTTGCAGGTTTCACTATTAAATGTTGGGGTGTTGAACAGTTTTTACTGATTTTAGTGGCGATCTCTCTATCTTCTGGATCTGAATGCCTGTTTCCCTTCCTAAGTTAGGGAAGTTCTCAGCCATGATTTGTTCAAATACACTTTCTAGACCTCTGCCCTTTCGACGCCCTCGGGAACCCCAGTTAAATGTAGATTTTTCCTTCTGAGGCTGTCATTTATTTCCCTTAACCTTTCCTAATGATCTTTTAATTGTTTTTCTTTTTTTCTCAGCTTCCTTCCTTGCCATCAACTTGTCTTCTATGTCACTCACTTGTTCTTCTACCTCATTAACCCTCGTCTTTAGGACCTCCAGTTTGGATTGCATCTCATTTAATTGATTTCCGAGAATGTGATCCAGAGGTGTTCTTTCCTCGAAAGCCCACAGAAATTCCCCAGAAAGTCATAAAGGAGGTGCCTCACATTCCAGGATGCATTCACTCAACGGACCCTTGAGTAGGGGAAACTGAATACACTGCTTACAGAGAATCTCCTCTTTTTCTTTTCTCACATCTGCTTTCATAGGGGGTAAGAAGTGTTCCTTTATTTTACAAGTTTGAAGCTCACAGGACTACAAAAGGGGGAGGAGAGAAGGAATGAATCATGAAAGACAGTTCTTTAATCTTTAACGGGACCAAAAAAGAAATCCACTAGAAAAAGGGAGAAGTTGAGAGCAGAGCAGTGGGAATGGGGTGTGGGAACGGAAGCAGGGAGGGGAGGAGCAGGGAGAGGAGAAAGAAGAAGATGGGAAAAGGCAGAGGGTTGAGAGAAGGGGAGTTCAAAGCTTAGAGCTATGCTGGGTACTTTCCAATTATTGGTTCAAGGCCATTTACCCTCCGCTTCCATCCTGCTCTCTGCACTACACAGCGTACTTACCAGGGTGTTATCCAGAGCACCCCTCTTCTCTGGCTTCCACTGGTTTGTCCAATGGGAGGGTGGGCAAGTGAATGGAAGGAGGAGGGGGAGTGAAGTCAGGGTATTTATTCCCCTAGATCTCTTTCTGAAAAGTTGCCTGATGCTAGGCTGAGTCTCTTGTCTGTGGGTCAACTTTCCTTTCAGACATCCGCTTCCAATTTTTAGTCACTCCTCTGATCCATCAACCCACAGGCTTGGGGATGGGAGCCGTTCCACCTGTTACTAGCAGTGGCTTCCTACTCAATCCCTCCAGTTCACCTTTGCTCCGCCAAGAACACTGTAAGCGAACCCTTTTCGAATGTTCCACCTGTTTGTTGTTGGGACTCTGGTTCTGACAGACGAAATGAGCAAAGGTATGGATTCTGTGAAGGAGGCTTTGGAGAGCAAGGAGATAATGTGGACAAATGGCTCTGTGAATACTGCATACAAATTCTCTCCATTTTAATAATTGCATTAGTAATAAAAATGCTCAATATATTGCAACCAAATAAGCCCTGAAAATTTGAGTCTGCAAGATTCTGTCCACATATGTATACTTTTCACATTGATAAATGATTAGGTTACAAAACATCTATCAATGTTAATTAATATCAATTAGTATTGACAGTATTAATAATTAAAAGTTTTGGAGCTTTGTGGTAAAGAAACCTGTAGAATATAAACTACTGTTTGTATTCAATGAAGCATAAATGTGGGACACCTGGGTGGCTCAGCGGTTGAGCGTCTGTCTACCCTTCGGCCCAGGGCATGATCCTGGAGTCCAGGGATCGAGTCCCACATCGGGCTCCCTGCTGGAGCCTGCTTCTCCCTCGGTCTTTGTCTCTGTGTCTTTTGTGAATAAATAAATAAAATCTTAAAGAAAAAAAGAGCATAAATATTTGGAGGTATGAGGGATACACCAGGTAAAAGGGAGGACAAAAGTAAAGAGGGCCTAGGGAAGTAGGTATGATATAAAGGCAGTCAAAATCTGGGCATAGTTTAACCAGTGTCATGGCTATGTATGATGCCTGGATAAAGGTAGATCCCCCTAAAACCCTAGCTCCAACACTGACCTTGGCCTAGTTATATAATCTGATTTGGAGGGCTCCAAAGCCTCCCGTTAAACTTTTGAAGATTTTATAAACTTACAAGTTATGAAGCTAAGGCATTATTATAAACTCCAACTGCCTAAATGCTATAATCTTAATATAATTATAATATTATATATTTTTACAGACTCTACAGGATTAAACAGAAATGCTCTGGAATAATGGAACATATTTGTTATATTAAAAAAAAATCACCACCCATCTATAAATCAAATGGGCAACAGCTGTCTGATCTTTGCAAAGAATTATCTCTTTTGTCATAAGATTAGGAGGTCTGCAGAGGAAAGAAAAGAATTAAGTCTCATTATCAGTTAAAGTCACTCAGTAACTCCTGCAATGAAACAGTCTAACTATATTCAGGAATTATCATGAAAACAGTCAGCCTTCTAGGTGAATTATTACTGAATTAATATTACCCTCTGGGCTAAGTATGTAAGGAGTATTTTTTAAAAGTTGCTAATGTAAGGAGATACGCTACTGATCTCTTAATCTGATCACATCCAGCAAGAGTTATTTGCCCTGGGGTCTGAGCTACATTGTAATAAAATCAAAGGACATAAAAACTGTGGCAGGAACAGTGCTGAAATTGGAGAAGCATCATTATGAATAGCAACAAGTATGGAGATGCATATGTAAGAGGGTAACTAGAGTCAATATAACCACTGTTCTTCCATGATTTAGGGTAAATAGATAGTTATGGCTCATCTGCTAAATGATCTACTGGGTAGATATTTATGGATTATTATACAGTATATTATTGAGGATCAGCCTGGTTAAAAACAAATAGAGAAAAGAGCAAATGGCACAGACAGGCTTTTAGTAAGGCCATCATTTGTAATATTTCTCGGGAAAAAAATCTCTTTCAGAAATTCCTCAGCATAGCTAATGTGCCATAGAAGGACTCTTCATTTTAGGAGTGCATAAATCCACACAAATTGCTATAATAAGGATTCATCCCATAGCCCTTTTGGCATAAATGCACATCTGGTCTCTGTTTGTAATGAAATCAATTCAAAGCCCCACAGTGCATTAATAATAAAAATGTTCAACATACTGCAACCAAATAAGCCCTGAAAATTTGAGTCTGCAAGATTCTGTCCACATATGTATACTTTTAACACTGATAAATGATTAGGTTACAGAACATTTATCAAATAGCTTAAGATTCCAAAGGTAGACGTTTTGGTGATCATTATTTCCATGGGAAAATACATATGCATGTATGCTAGAAGCTTTTGCCTGCTTGATTTATAATGGCTCTTGGACTTTTATATCTGTAGTTCACAATATTATAAAAATTTTATTCATAATAAAATTATTATAAGCAATACTGCCTGGCTTAGAGGAAGTTCACAGATTTGTCCTTTAAGAACAACAAAATTCTAGATTAACACATAGCGTATCAAAGGTTGTCATTAAATCTTAAATGAAGTTAAAAAGGTAGAATATTTCCATGTTAATTAAAAGATCTTAACTACTTTGTTTGCAACAGTTATAATCAATAACAGAGGATCTCGGTTTGGGAAAACCTTCCTTGTCAGTCATACGATTTACCTTTTGTGTTATATGGTTGACCCAAGGAGAAGAACAGTTGCTAAGATCCGGTCCTTGGGGATCCCAGATTCCATCAGGAGACAGGCAGAGATAAGTTGATACTCCTAAAACAATGAGAAAAATAAGTCTGCTTTAAATATTCAAACCATCTTGCTTACAAAGACTTTATATCCATGTTATGTTTAAATATGAACAAAGGCAAAACTGACATCATTAAACTAAGAGAATGTTTGTTGAAACACCGCACACAGCGCCTGGCAAATAACTGACATTCGAGAAATGCACAGAACAAATAAAAACATTCAATATTTTGAAAGCACTTGCTGGCACCTATACCAGGTTCAGAGAACAATTTCCTAAATTAGATCGATGTGGTACCTGCCCCCACGGGGCTTACTGTGTGAGTTTTTTCAGAGGCAAGGTAGCAGTTGAGTCTTAAAGGTATCAGTGTGCAGGTTTTTTGGGAAAACAAGGTAGGAAAGGGCATTCCAGGTGCAGCAAAAATAAGTTGTCCTTGGGAAACTTCAAATGTTTTAAATTGAGGTCTACTGTAGAGGGGAGTTGTGTTTAATGGACTCAGAAAGGCAGGCAAAGTCAGATCATAAACTCCCTTGTCTGCCACCTGTGGGTGCTGGAAAATCAATGAACATTAAGCAGAGGAGAGAAATGAGCTGATTAAGGTTTTAGAAAGACAACTGTGGCAGCAGCATGGAGGACGAATCTGAGGGGGAGATGTGAAGGTTTGGGGGAAGCTATTACAATAATTCAAGGGACAGCCTTGAATGTGGGTCTGTGTGGGTCTGGACAGAGTACAGCAGAGGGGACAGAGAAAAGGTTAAAAATAAGATTGTAGCGCAGGGACATTCACCTGGGAGGGCTCTAGAAGGTTTGGTTTCCTTTGAAGCTCTCTCTCAATTTTCACAGAACAATAATGACATATTTCTGTAGTGCTCTGTAGTTCTAAAACTGCTTTCAAATAAAGTATTTCACTCACCTTCACAACAAACATCTGATGGGGGGGTATTATTATTTTTCTTTTAGAAATGAAGAGCTGAGGCCCAGAACGAAATGCTTAGAGACAAGGTTTCAAACTGTTGGAATCAAACTGACTTCAGTACCACAGAAAACTTTAGAACTAAACATTGCATCCTTTCATAAAGGGAAGAAGGATTTCAGAATATTTTTTAAAAGACTTTGCTGAAAACAGAAATTACATGTGCACTTTTATAAAAGCCAATATTCTTTTTGGTCCTTCTCCCACTTCACATACTACAGGATTCAGAATGATATATCCACATTGGAACTGTGCTAAGACAAACCTGTTTAAAGTAACCAAATCGAAAAAAAAATAAAATTAAAAATAAAATTAAAAAATTAAAAAAAAATAAAGTAACCAAATTGACAACACCCAAAGACAGAGCCTCTATTGCTTGTATCGTGACATCTATTGTGCCTTTGCTCTATTTACACATTACATATTGTATGGAATAAGGCAAATATTATTCAGCAGATCATATATTAGTTTTATGAAGATCAGTGTAGGAAATAAGAAAACCAGGCTATTTCTGGCATAAAAATTGTAAATAATAATATGGTCACCACTTGGGGATATTTTGAATCACATCAGTAAAAAAAAAAAAAAAAAAAAAAGGGCAGGGAAGACGGAAGAACTATTCAGCTTTCAACTACCTCCTAGGGGAAAAAGATGGATCTCGCGCTCTCTACTGGATGTTCAGTAATGGAAGGCTGGCTCCTGCCTTTGTGAAGCGTCTTTGGCTATCGAAGGACAGCTACAATGACTTGTCAAAAGCATAGTCAAACTTCCTCTTCTGTTAAGTTTTAAGTAGTTTCCATGATCATCTTCTAAGAGATGATGACTTCTAAGGGAGAAGTCCTCCACCTTGTTTTCTGCTGGCAACATTTGACAGTTGGTGACAAGCATGAGAACTAGTTCCCAGCAACCCGGTGATTCACTCCGGGGCTGCTGCACAGAAGGGCTGGCCTTCTGGAGTAGCCAGGACATCCACAGCCTCACGGTAAGTTCACTCACAGCCCTCACACTGTGGGCAAAGACCAATGACCTCACGTGTATACACACCAAATCCTTACTGGTGACTTCTTCAGAAACTCTGAAAATATGTTGCTTTAAATTGTAATTGGGCTGAGTCCAGAATTCAAAGTCAAATTGCAAAAATATGTAGTAACAAACAGAAAACTAAAGAAAAAAATGCAAAAAAAAAAAAAAAAAAAAAAGGCAAGCTAAAGTAAAAAAACATCTTTCACTTAGTCAGTAGAACAGACTTACCTATCGTTCCTGCAGGGCATGGCTGCTTGGCCATCTGTCCTTGACGGGTCTTGAACCACATGATTTCTCGGGCTTCCACAGCTTCACAGCTCTCTTCCAGAGCTGGGATTTGGGAGGATGCTGATGGCAGGTGTGTGGTAATGTCATCAAGCACCTCCACAGCTGGAGATGGGGTGCTGGTACTCCGGTTTCTTCTTCCTGACATGGATGGGGTGGTGGTCCTCCCGGGGCTCCAAGTTGTGGTCCGCAGGGTGGTACTGGTGGTGGTGCTTCCCATGCCAAGAGGTCCTGTGGTAGAGATTTCTGAAATAAAATTCAAAAGAAAACACCTACATTGCTTGTTCATCACCTCAAGATGTCCTAGTACCTTAGGAACCGTTTCTATCTGACAATTCAAAGAGCCTTAAACATGGAATACATAAGCCAGTAGCATGAGGTGTCTGAGCGCCGCTTCAGGACCATGACAGACGTCTGACCAATGCCAAACATTGGCTTATCCATGGTTTCACTCAACTCAAATCACAGAGAAGAAAACTGCAGCACAACCCAACTCTTCAGTAAGCTTCTTAATCCTTCAGGCCTTTTTAACATTTAGAGGATTAATACTTCAAGCCCTCACCTCAGAATTTTCAAACTTATATAGGAGAGAGCTATTTATGATAGTCTTTTCACATTGAATATAACATGAGTTTCTAAAGATGAAGTAATTATGGGAGACGGATCAGGAAAAAAAAGGGCATCAAAATTTAAAGTGTTCTCGAGCTAAAAGGTAAAGAACAATTCTGAGTACAGTAGCTTGAAGATTGAGAACTAACCCATCTTAAAACCTCCAAGACTTGACATTTACTAATGTAAAGTAAAAGTAGTTTCCAATTAGTTGTCTCATAAATTATTTTCTAACCGGATTCCTTAAAATGGGGAAATGTATTCCAAATTCCAAATGCAACTGGTGAGGTTCCTTGATCAGATATTAACAGGTTATTAAGCCTAGAACATATCCAAAGGAATGTTCTATTAATACTATGGAAATAATCACTGCAGAGGATCATCTTTCTGGGAAAATATATATTTCCATCCTAAGAAGGCAAGAGCATGCCAGGCCTCCACATACATACACTGCATTCCTAATTGTAAGGTTAGAAACTACCCTTAACCTCATTTACTGGCAATAAACCCAGGGGCACTGATTCTAGCCAGATTCAAAGTAGCTTGGGTTTATGGAACTCGGAGTCCTGTGTTGAGCCTCCAGCTGTTTGTCATTCACTGTCTGCTTTCTTTAACGTGTCATCGACCTGACTCTGCTGCCCCAGAAGAGGTACCACATCCATCACTGGGTGTTTGGTATGTATAACAAGATAGAGACGGCAGTAGGAAGGGAATATGGATTTTCTGAACATTTAATCACTGAAACTGTAGCATGTTCTGAAGTGATGCTATTTTTCTAGCTGTCTCCTTGCTTGTTCTGTTTCCTCTTCCTCTCTTCTAAGCTTTTCTCCTTCCTCTTGGAGTCTCCCTCTGTGGGAATGCGATGTTCATAACATCATTGATGTAAAGTTCATGAAAGCAGAAAGAGGATTGTTTTTTCCCCTTCCTCCGTTTATATCTCATCCCCCAAACTGCTGAGTCTCATTGATTTTCATTTCTCTATTTTCCTCTGTTCTCAATCATCACTAGCCACACTCCCCCACTCATCAGTAGATGAGTACGACAGACCTTCTAAGTGTTTTGCCAGTGAAAGCAATACCAGAACAAAATGGCAATATTGAGATTTTACTATCGATTTTTGATAAACTAAAATTGACACCAATTGTTTACCACAAATATAAAATTTAGCAACATGAGTGAAATTCAATTCTTAAAATTACAAACAGTAGAAATGATTCTAATACATATATCAGTTGCATTTAAATTTCTTGAAATGTCTCAAAAAGAAAAAAAAATACAATTAAGAACTAATACTACGGGTGCCTGGGTTGCTCAGTCAGTTGAGTGATTGCCTTTGGCTCAGGTCATGATCCCAGGGTCCTGGGATCAAGCCCCATATCAGGCTCCCTGATCACTGGGTAGCCTGCTTCTCCCTCTAAAGCTCCCCATGCTTGTGCATTCACTGTTTCTCTATCAAATAAGTAAATAAAATATTTTTAAAAAAGAACTATTAATAACTTGACATTGCATAGTATTTAATATTAAATTAATTAAAATAAATTAATATTAAAATCAAATACTCTTGTTCTTATTAATATTAAGTATTAGCCTTAAAAACAAATGTCAGTGTTGTCGTTGCTGGGATACAAGCGCCTTTTTTGTGCAAAGTTTTCTGGCTGGTGGAAATATTCTTCACTTTATACCACTTGACAGAATAGTAAGGCAATAGTTAAAAACTAACTCCAAGCATTTTCTCTGGCTCCTTCAATTTAAATAATGCCATCTCTCATTTGTAGTTTCTTCAGAATTATATAGATACTGAAGAATGCTTTCTAAATGAATGCACTTTCCTTCATTTAGATATTTTAGTTAGCATACAATGCTCTGGGACGGAAGAGATTTGTTTTGTAAACATTTTTACTCTGATAAAACTGCATAATCCCACATGCAGTGAGAAGATTGACCAGTCTATTGTCTCAATCACACAAATCATACACAAGGAACAACGATACACTATCACAAGATGCTTGTTTGCTGTGCGTCTGGCCTTGCCAATTTTGAATAGATTTGTCTTTTAGCACAGATTTAATATATTTTTCTTTGTGCTCTGTAATGGTCCAGATTTCAGATTTTTAAACACTATAGTACCACACCAAAATGTATTTAACAATACCACCACATAATGGAAATCAATGCTCATTATTTTTCTCTAAAATTATCCTATTGAAACAATTCTCTACCTTTTGCCAGAGGCATCTTGTAGGGTATAAATTGGAATATGTTACTCTCCAGATTAAAATCCCTTAAATCATTTCTGTCTGCCCTCTAAACAAAGACTGGACTCCTTTTCTTTGTGCCTAAAGCCCTTTATGAGTTTATTTCTCTAGCTCATTTGTAATGCTTCTTCATCTTTCAGCTCCACCATTAAGCCATACAAAATTACCAGTAATTTCCCAACTGTACCCTGTTCTTTCTGCCTCAGGGTTTTTGCACATGCTGCAGCATTCCTAATCCTATTTCCACCTGGCTAATTTCTGTTTAGCCTTTGGGGATTGCTTGGATGCCATCTCCACCAAGGAACCTTTTCAAAGTTACCAAGACGAGGTTACATACTAATGTGTTTTGTTCAAGACTATTTCCTCAGTTTTTAGCCTTGTGTCTGACCTACAGTAAATTAGCTCTCAGTCAAGATAGAAGAACATCAGGGTAGGTCAAGGAAGCAAGGGAGGGTTCAGTTGTGAAATATCATGAAAAAAGGAAAAATGATAAATATAGCAGATGGAGTTGTTAAGAGTCCTTGTAGTTGATAGGCTAAAAATATTATTTTATAAGTGCATTTTACGCTATCATTAAGAAAACTACCAGACACAAAAAAAGACACAAAAAGACGCAGGAAGAACACAGTCTCCTCTTCCTCCAAATAATGCTCTTTCAGGACATCCATATTTAAACTGAATATACTCTTGTGAAGCAATGAAGTATACTGATAAGGGAATTTTTTAAAGTTTGAATTGTTATGTAATACACTGCAAGGACTTAGTTTAATATGGACATATTAATATTAAGGAATAATATAGAACTTATTTCTTTGGAATTGTGTTGCAGAGAGGTGCCTATTTACATATAACACTTTATCAAAATTATATAATTCTCACTATTTTGTCACTGTTACTGTGCTCACTGTGCTTATATTTTCATAAAAGTGACTAAACAAACTCCTTATGTAGAAAATTTTAATTCTCCTGTCTCCTGAAATATATTGCCCATGGCTTATTTCATTTTTATATTTTGGCTTAGTTTGTTTAGTTTATTTTTCCTTCAATCTGCCTTGAAAATAATAAATATTATTTGAATATTACTATAGGTTATAGTCTGTGGAGTATACTAATGGAAAACAGTGAAAATAACCAACATTGGTATAGTGCTTTACATTTTTCAATGTCTTTATTATCTCATTGAATTCACGGCATGTAGTAATTGTAACTACAAATTTCTAATTTTACAAATGAAAAAATATAGGCTCAGATGGTAAGTGAATCATAATCATACCTACAGAAAGTAAATCAGTGTCCCCCAATTCCATATTCCATGTTTCTATAATAAGCTATCAAAAATGACATCCTGAATTATCTCGTGCATTCTACAACTGAATCTTCCACATGCTTTAAGAAGGGAGTGAAGTACAATGATTCTAAATCTTTTTTTTTAATTTTTATTTATTTATGATAGTCACAGAGAGAGAGAGAGAGAGAGGCAGAGACACAGGCAGAGGGAGAAGCAGGCTCCATGCACCGGCAGCCCGACGTGGGATTCGATCCCGGGTCTCTAGGAAGTACAATGATTCTAATAAGACATTAGTATTCTTGATCACAAAACATATTTTTGGGGATGGACATTGTTAATTGTTTTCCCCCAAGGCCTTATGTTGAAGCCCTACCCCACCTATAACTCTACTTGGCGATGGAGATTTTAAAAAAGGCAATTAAGGTTCAATGAGATTGTAAGGGTGGGGCCCTGATCCAATAGAACTGTTATCCTTAAACGAAAAGGAAGACATAAAAAAAAAAAAGAAAAGAAAAGGAAGAAATAGTAGGGATGCATGCTCATAAAATAAAGGCCATATGAGGACATAATGAAAAGGTGGCCATTTCTAAGGCAAGGTGTGAGACCTCAAGAGGAACCAACCAGACCAGAACCCTGGTCTTGTGGACTTTTAGTTGCCCAAACTGGGAGGAAATGATTTCTGTTGTTTAAGTTACCTAGTCTGTGGTATTTTGTCATGACAGCCTTAGCAGACTATTACAGGCATCCTCCAAAAAAAAAAAACTGTAAAATTTTGAAAAGAAGATAAAACTTCACAATAGAAGAAATGTTTACCTTCTACTCATAAAGTGCATGAACTTTCTTCTTGATTCATTTTTTTTCTTCTCTAAAATATGCGTCTCCCCTGATGGTTTTCCCTTTACTAATCTTCTGTGCTGACTTCATTCCAACATACAGTATTTAGGCTGACTACAGAAATGTTTCTTTCTCCCCTCCCTCCAAGTATTTATTTAAATAAATCCAAGGTCAGTTATTGAAGAAATCTTCCCAAGGGCTTGATAGAGGAAATAAGAAACCTAAAACCATAGCAACACTACAAGTGGCTTTTGGTACTT